AAAAGTCCAGGAACAAACAGAAGGAAAGTTCAGGTGCACTTTTGCTCTTTAAGCTACAAAGACAGACGCAGGAAAGGCAGAACTGACAGCACAAAAATAGATTCAAATACGCCATGTTCAAGTTTCCCCTTCTGTTCCATTTTTTTCTTTTCTTCTCCCAAACCGAGGCCTCTCATCAAGGTGCCTGTGGGCGCCCCCTTTGCTGCTATAGATCCCCTTCGCCCCACCTCCCTGTGTGGCTGATGCTCAGATTGTTCTGCGTCAGCCAGGAGCTCATCTGGTCGCCAGCCCCAGGCTTCCTTTGTGACACTGCCTGTTCTGGGTGTGGTGGGGACGATGTCAGGAATTTCCAGGGGCCCGTTCGATTAATTATCGGCCGAACAGAAGCAAAATCCATCTCCTTTGGGTGAACAGACCCTCCTGCGTTTGTTTTATGTGGCAGCTTGGGGCTTCTGTTTTCCATCAGAGTGATTGAGTCAAAGATTTTAATTCCGGTGGTTTCTCAAAATTTGTTCTTACTCACATTAGGCCCTTAAGTTTGGATCCTTTCCTGCCACCCCTTGAGCGCTGCTCTCCAGGAGACCTCAGCCGGTATTCTCTTGCAAATTGCAGACCAAAGTGAACTGTATTAAAATTGCCACTAGGGCCCTGGTGGCGTGGCTCAGTGGTTGAGTGTCGACCTGTGAACCAGGAGGTCACAGTTCAGTTCCCAGTCAGGGCACGTGCCCAGGTTGTAGGCTCCATCCCGGTGGGGGGGCGGCAGTGGCAGCCAATCAAGAATTCTCTCTCATCATTGATATTTCTATCTGTCTTTCCCTTCATTTCTGAAATCAGTTTTTTTTTAAAAAAAATTTAATTGCCACTAAGTTTTGACAGAGGTGCCTCACGATTTAAACAGAATTTGCTATTTTGAGATTTTAAGTGTATAAATATCTGTTGCTCGTTAACAATACAACACTTTCAGGGTTTACACTGAAACAAAGTATATTTTTTAAGGTTGCCTTAAAACATGTTTTTAAAATCTCTCCTTCACTCTCTTCGAAAAGTACTCAAAAAGGTCTTGATTCTTTATCCCCAGGCACAAAACTAACCTGTTCCTAGCTCTCTCGTCGCTGCCTCCTTGTGGGCATCAACCTTTATGCCAATGTGGAATCCGGGCCTAAAATAGTGTATTGAAGCAATCCCTTATCAACTAAGTCTCCTGCCCCGGAGGCTGCCTATCGTCGATTCAGTTTTGAATGTCAGTCTTTTTTATTTTCAGTAACTTATGGGAAGAATGGCCTGTCACTCACTTCCACAGTAATAACGCTTTCCGGAGTAAATTCCTGATCACTTACTGTGTCAGCAGCCATCTAAACCCATGATGTGTGTTAACGCATTAGAGCCTTCCAACAACCATGTGAGATGGGTATTCTTACGATCCCCGTTTTGAAATTCAGAGCCTGAGTTTTAACAGAGAGGAGTTAAAACTCTGGGAGGTAAAAATCACTCAGTTCTTTGGAGCCTCCCCGGATCCGTTGTGTGGCCGCAGTAGTTTCTTGCGTTCTCTGCCTGCACAGGGGATGGGGAAAAGCTGATCGCATCTTTCCTTTGTAAGGTTGCAAAGGTGTCAGTGTTTAAAACACCGAAGGTCAGCTCCATCACCTTGACCTTCTCAATTTCAGGAAGATGTAAAGGGATCCTTTTCCTAATCAGTTTTGGAACTGACTTTGCAGGACGCACTGAAACCTGAACCCCAGTCCGACACGGTCCCCGGGACGCTTCACCTGCCAGGTCAGGATGTGGCTTATTCCCTAGCCCTGCAAGTGTGGACTGAGAAGGTGAAGATGGCAAGGGTCCTCCTGGAGCAATGCAAGGCCACGTCACCCTTGCCCCTGAGCTTTCTGTTAGTTCCTTTTTCTTTTTCCTTTTATTACAGATTGCGTTTAATGCCAGGCATGTGGTAAGCCCCTTCCACAGGTTTTCACTTAAACCACGCATTGGACTCATGAGCCAATGCCATCGGAATCCTTATTTCATAGGAAAACTGAAACTTAGAAATATTCAGGAACTCACCAAAACTTAGCCAGCAGAGCAAGGAAGAAAGGCGAAGCTTCAACTCAGATCTACCTGCTTTCAAGTCACATCCATTCAATCACAATATTGTGCTGTCCCCGTCACACACACGCATGCACACACACACACACACACACACACACACACACACACACATACGTGCACCCTGCTTAATGTCCTCCCCAGCTGTGGCTTTAGGCTGAACAGGTCCTAAAGGTGTGTGCCTTCTGACCCCCAGGGTCCCTTTGAGAGTCACAGGTCCTGTGATGGCTTCTGCCCCTGCTCACTCTTGTCCTATCAACCTCTTCCTCAAAAGGTGCCCTGTGGTGATCCCAGGGGTGTCTAGTGATCACTTCGTCAGGTGCTGCCCCCCATCCTCAAGGAGCACCCCGGGTGCTACATTCTGAAGCTGGACCTGCAATTGCTGCTGTTTTAGAAACTGGTCTTTAAGGTTAGTCCTGCTCGGCTGTGGAGCAGCCATTGTCAGCACTCAGAATGCAGAATGGCGATCAGGGAGGCTCAAGGGGACAGGTTGAGCCAGCCTCTGCAGCTTTGCCTCAGGCACACCCAGAGGGTTAACCCTTTGTGCCGCCACCACAGAGCGTGTGGAAAAGTGGTGACACTCTAGAAAACTCCAGATGACCTGTTAAAATGTTTGAGAACCTACGAAATCCCAAATCTGCGATCATTTCCTACCCTATTCTCCCAGACCTCCTTTAGAAAATCTGGGGAAACCATCCCATGCGTGACGGTGACCATCGCCCTGACGTTTTCTGGCACAAAGAGTGGCTGACCCCTCCCATGCTTTGGGTCTCTTTTATAAACATTTCTCTCTGAGACGGTTCCGGTGACCACAAGCCATACGGAAAATAGCTGGTTTCTATCGACCGCCTCTGCCAGGATTCATGACTTTGGGGCGTTACTTGGATTGGACGATTTCAGGTTTTATTTCCACGGGCTTATTTGTTTCCTCTTTGGAATGCTTTCTTGCTTCGTTACTATTTTATATATAAGTTTTAAATAGCAGCGATTGATCATCTTTATGTCATAACGCTGCTGACTGTTCCCAGTTCAAAGAAGGACCCTGAAACTACAGAACGGTTTTATTAGTAGAAGCATCATCTCCTGCAAAGTTTCAGAGCTTCCTTTTTCTCTTCTGAGCTTTTTGGTAGATGACCCGAGGGCTTCTTGGGAGTTTCTTCTACAAGAAGTACCCCGTGTAGGCTGAAGTCAGGAAAGGGTCCTGCATCCACACTTCCTGGGCAACCTCCAGACAGTCCCAGCCCCCAGCCTACCTCCTCCTTCTTTGAATTCTTTATCTTTCTCTCCCTTTTCTTCCCTTTCTTGTTCCCTTTTACCTCCTCCTTTTCCTAGTCCTCAGACTTTCTTTTGTTTCCAGTGTTTCTTCCCAGAGTTTCCCTTGGAGATTAGATAGAAACAACTATACGCCCAAAACTTTTCAGCATGGTGAACCTAATGCCAGCCTTCAACGTCCCTCGGGGAGGGACATCACGCCCATCACTTCATCCATCTTCCTCATGCCTCGCGAAGCCCCAGCCACAGCTGACCTCTCTCCATGCAGTGCTGTCCTTCCTTTGAGGTGCTCCTCTGGAGCACATTCATTGCCAAGACTAAGGTGCTCACCCCCTAGAGGCTGCCTCCGTGGTAGCAAGGCCTCTAGGATTGTGATTAGTGGGGCGTGTGAGCAGAAAGAGCTCGGTCCCCTGTCACTTTCACCACTGGACGCAACTGATCTCACTCTCCTTCACAGCTTCGGTTGCTCCCAACCAATTACACGAGTCACCACTATGACCACACCCCGTGATTTCCACTCCTGGTTGGGGGAGGGGTGGGTGCCAACCTGCCATCCTGGGAGACTCGCGAAGAGAAACGCTTTTGGTTGGATTTGGTTAGGTGTTGGTCTAACTGGAAAAGAAGAATGAGATCCCCTGTTAATATGCTGCTAAAGAACCCAGCTACCAAACCAGAGAGGTGGTGGTGTTTTCAGAGTCATGAATAAAGCAATAATCAGTTTTAAATAAGGTTCCTTTGTACCTTGAATATTCAGGGGGTGGGGAGGACAGCAGAGGGAAATCGAGAATTAGAGAAGAAAGAAAAACGTATTATGGTTCACTAATCTCTACACTTTTGCATGCTTTTTTTCTCTGCTTGTTGCATGCACTTACCCATTAATTATGTCAATAATGGAAAAGAAATGAAGCATTATGCTTGTGGTACAGCTGTTTAAAATGATTACTTTGAGACTGGTATGTTTTCCAGCACCTTTCTCTGTGCATCTCATCACCAACAGACATCGCTTGCTGTGCTCAGTTGGTCATTCTTCGCCCCAAACCCTCCCCCCCCAAAAAAAATGGAATCAGTTGCCTCCCTGATGCTTTAACTGCAGCTGACGCAGCTGATTCGGAAAGCTCTGATGCTTGCTCCTGACTTGTTCAGATACTGCAGTGGTCATTATGATACACATCTGAAAACCAAATTCAAATCAAAGGATCCCTAGGCATGACCTTCCATGGTCAATGCCATTTCTGGGATGAGCATTTAACCCCAGAGATGCGGCTGTGCCCCTAGAGCCACTCTGTCTTTGGAGTTGTTTTGGATCTCGCAGCAGGGGGAGTTTTGGAGGGGATCGGTGCTTTGTCAGCCGCTGGGAGGGAGAGAAGAGATCCAAGGGAAGCCTTTCGTCTATGGGCTGGCAGCTTGAGATTCTCAAATAGAGAAGTGAGCTGAAGAACCCACACAGGTAAGGGAGCCCTTCCTGCAGGACACGGGCTCGGGGACTGGACAGGAAGGCGAGGGCACTGTGACAACGCGGTGGACCTGAAGAAGCCGCGGGCCTGCTTTGCCACTGCTTCGCCATTTGCCACGGGCCTCTCTTCATTTTCCTCCTCATCCTCTTTCCTTCCCACCACTTTCTCTTGCTTCAGGGAGGTTCAGAGAAAAGGCTTCCATTCTCCACAAGATTGCCAAGAAGAAGTGCCAGGTGGATGAGAACGAGAGGCAGAATGGGGCTGCCAATCACGTGGGTGAGTGCAGGGAGACCTGGTCCAGGGCCCTTCCTGGAGTGCGTGGAGGGGAGCAGAGAGCAGGGTCCCGTGCACCCCTGACTCAGCACCGACACAGACCCCTGCAGCTCAGCCCTGTCCCGAGTGTCGGGCAGAGTCCAGTGTCCCTGGTGGGTACAGGCCATGGGTAGACACTCTGTGTCTCCTGCCCTAGGGGAACGCCAAGAAGAAGAAAATGATTCTGTGAGGAACCTGGAATAAAGCCAGCTCCTAACCCAGGCATCTCCCTTGAAGACTAGAAAATCACTTTACTTTAGGAATGCCACATAAAGAGGACACACACACCCCCACCCATCATTGACTATTTAACAAGAAGTAAGAGAGCACCTCTTCTGAAATTCTTGCCTGTTAACCAAATTTTATACGTATGACATCACCTAAAGCACACCCACCGAATTACCAGCTTGTTTACTTGGTGACTCCTAACTGAGTGGCAGGGTCCCTGCCAGATGCCACAGCCTCCCCTTTCTCTGGAAGTCCGAAATACTACTAGCCCAGGTCTTTTCTGGCTAACTTTTTCTGAGCGCTGTGTGGCTAGATGAGGACATTCAGGCATCTTATCTTAACTTGGAACATGTTCCTCCTCTCCCATCTGTAACTGTAATAGAGCTCTCTAATTCTAAATTCAAACTAAATTTAGCCTAATCTGGATCTATGCTATAAATGATGCCATTGCCCAAGATACTAAAATTATCTGCAGACAAAATCCAACAGTGTTGCATTCAAAATACATGTGACTCCTTAGAAGAGTTTCTGTCTCTCCTGTTAACCTTACTTACAGCTCAGGGGAAATCTTTGGCCAAGAAATAGTCAAGATGCTATTGGGTATGAAGGGAAAGAAAAAAAAAGCTGGAAGGACATACACTAAAATATGAATAATAGCTACTTCTTGGGGTTGGATTATGAATTATATCTTTTTTTCTCTGCTTGTTTATGCTTCTGTGAACTCGGACTAATTATTTGGAATTAACATATCTTGCTTTTGTATTCTAAAAATGCAAAGCCACAGCACAAAAGTCTAACTGCATAGGCTGAGTTTTGCTTCTGATATTTAAGTTCAGTTACACAAGCTATTTTTCTGCACCACTTGTTGATTTTTGTGGAATAAGGCAGCTTGCAGTACAAGACTTAGATGCCTGGGTTCAGTCCCAGTCCTTCTCCTAATAACTGGCTGACCTTAGACTTGGGTTGAACCCTTCATGAGAAGGTAGGACACATAACTCCAAGGATGCTCCTGAGCAGACTGGGTCTCTGAACAACATTATAACTAAAAAAAAAAAAAAAAAAAAAAAAAAAGTTACAAAATCTATGTTCAAAATCTTTTCAAAGTTTTTTCACACGTTCTTTGGTGCTGAGACCCCAGCCTGCCATGTAAAAGCACGGCATTAGCTAAGACGTACTCGGCTAGGTATCATGCCTGGGAGGTTGTTTATTCTCATCTATTCATGTCTTTTCTTGGGCATCTTAACTCCATTTTGGTACCCAGCACCCTGCATTGCTAGGGTCAAGTTTGACCATTGCAGGCCTATCCTAAAGTTGTATTACTTCAGCCAGTAGACTCCCCAAAGCAGAGTTTTTCTTTTCCCCCAGACTTAGTATTTTTTAGTTTAGTAAATAACTGGGCCAAGCTTCTGGGATAAACTGGCCTAGCCACACACAGCAGATCATCACATGCATGTCACTGTCACTACTAAAAATATGGGAAGATAAAATGAATTTGAATTTCTATGGATTTCCATATGTAAATATTTTATGCCTCTATATTTCACAAGTAAATACATAAATGAACAAACATTTCCCTATGACTTCCAAAATTTGGCCACTTCAAATCCAACAATTTTTGTGTAACTCTCCAATTACTTTATGTGATGTTTTACCAGCGAGAGAAATTGTTGGTTCTTCTGAAGTTGCTAGAAAAACAAGCATTTGATACTCTGTGAGCAGCCTGCCACTCTCGTGTCTGATACCGATGGGTATTCTGGTGCTCCCGGCGGCGCTGACACTGAAACCACACGGCTCCATGGTCTCCCGAAGTCCAAGACTCTACCCAGCAGGGCCAGAGGGTCTGGGGAGCTCCTAACCTCCTCCCGCTGAGGGCACGGCAGACCTGGCTGGTGCCTGCACAGCTCGCCTGGCGCAGGAGGGCTGAGTCTGCTAGAACGCTCAGGGAGGAATGGTACAAACCTTCGCCGCTTGGTGCAACCCCAGCCTGATCTCCCCTCAGAAACTACCATCCATCGTCTGTCTCCCTTGGCCAGTATTTTAGGTGTTCTTTCCAGTATGGCCCTTACCCCATTGATGCCATTTGCTTTCTTTGTGTGTGTCCCCATTATGTCACAGAAAAAATCGAGCTCCCCAACAGCACCAGCACAGAGGTTGAAATGACGCCATCCAGTGATGCTTCCGAGCCCGTGCAGAACGGCAACCTCTCCCACGGCATTGAAGCTGTGGAGGCCCAGGTACGGCTTCTGGTCATGGCCTTTCTGGGCTGCTGGGGTTGGTTTTGCGTGTGATGTCCTAGTAGAGCAGCCCGGAGCCCACCTTCTCCCTGGTACCCAGCTCCCAGCGGGGAGGACCCAGGCCAGGTCTTACTTGTCTGTGTGTGTACTTCCCAGCACCAGCCCAGGACCCTGCGTGCATCACACTCTCCATGTACTGAACAAATACACATATTCTCTAAACCAGGGTTTCTCGGGGTGAGGTTGGAGGACTCATGCATCAAATCATAAAAATATAGATCCTGCCCCCTCCGGTGTGTCCAGTGGTTAGAGCTTCAGCCACACACCAAAGGATTGCGGGATGGATTCTCAGTCCAGAGCATGTACCTGGGTTGCAGGTTCATTCCCCAGCCCTGCTTGGCGTGTGTGGGGGAGGCAATTGATGTGTGCCTCTCACATTGATGTCTCTCTCTCTCTCTCCCTCTCTCTCTCGCTCTCTCTCTCTCTCCCCACACACACACTCTCTCTAAAAATCCATGGGGAAAAAATATCCTCAGGTGAGGATTAATAACAACAACAAAATGGAGATTCCCTGGACCTGATGAAACAGGACCCCTGGGAAGCAGCATTTTTGGACTTGCTTCCCAGGTGATTCATAATGCATGATAAAGTTAGATAGCTGCTGTGGTCTGATCTTTTCTCTGCCTTTAAGGTGAGGATTAACAGAGACACCACAGGTACCACACCTCCATGAGCCCTGTTTGGGCTCCTGCAGCTGAAAGTAATTAGTATTGTCTGCCCCGATTCAGTGGTGCAGCCAGGGGACATCTGTTTGACCTGGTGGTTGTACCCTGTGCCACAGATGCGGTGCTGGGCACTTTATATGTGTTCTCACCTTTAAAGCCCACAGCCGAACCCTAGCCAGTTTGGCTCAATGGATAGAATGTTGGCCTGTGGACTTGAAAGGTCCCAGGTTCGAATCTGGTCAAGGGCATATGCCCGGGTTCAGGGCTCGGTCCCCAGTGTGGGGTGTGCAGGAGGCAGCCAATCAGTGATTCTCTATCATCATTGATGTTTCTATCTCTCTCTCCCTTCCTCTCTGAAATCAATAAAAATATTCTTTTTAAAGTCATTTAGTGTCTCCACGTTAGATGTGTTTGAGAAAGCTAAAGCTTCCCAAGATGAAGAAACCCAGGATTACCTCGCTTGTAGGAGGCAGAGCTGAGGTCTGATCTCAGGACCGTCCAAATATAGCACCGGCACTGCTTCCACCGCGCAGCTCTGCCTCAGTACCGCAGTGGCTCAGAAAGGCAGGCAGAAAGGAAAAGTAGGTGGTACTTGTCAGGTCTCTGGGTCTCATCTGGAATTTCTGAGGCATGGAGTCCCAAGCTCGCATTTTAATCAGGCACCTAGGCGGGTGTTTCTCAAACTTTCATATGCTTATGCATTTCCTGGGGGACGGTGTTAAAATTCAAATCTGCTGTTGTAACGAGCTCCCCGCCATCCTGATGTTGCTGGTCGAAGGACCACACTGAGTAGCACTATGCTAACGTCTGAGACCCACTTCTCTAGGCAGGACTTTCCCAGTGAGCTGAAAAGCTTATGGTGCCCTCAGAGGAGCCCAGCTGCGGTGATGCAGCCCAGCACGCTCTACCCCTGCATCCCAGGATGCACTGCGGCAGAGGGGCCTGCACTTAGGAAACATGCTAATGCAAGGAAAGCCTCTTCGCATAAAGGAGAGTAAAGATGTGGAGCATAGGTCATATACCTATTGGTCATTTGAATGTCTTCTTTGGAAAGATATCTATTTAAGTCCCTTTGTCTATTTTTTAACCAGGATTTATTTTTAACTTTTTCTATTGAGTTGTAGGGGTTCCTTAAATATTTTGGATATTAACCCTTAAAAATATACGCCTTGCAAACATTTTCTCCCATTCCATAGGTTGCCTTTTCATTTTGGTAATTGTTTCCTTTGCTGTGCTTTTCATAATATATACTTAAATCTTCACATCATACATGTTAAATATATAGGATTTTATTTGTCAGTGATGCCTCATGAAGCTGGGAATATCAATAACTAAAGGAAAGGATAAGGAAGCACCAGCTCTTTCTGCCCTTGTCTCCTCTGTCTCTGAGCTCTCACCCTCCTGCCCAGAGCCCTGTGGTCCCTCCGCATTAGCTCAGGGGTGAGCTGGCAGAGCGGCTTATGTCCACATGGATAAGCAGCATGTGGCAGCAGGAGCAAGGCCCCAAGGACATCTGGTTGCCCTTGGTGACGGCACAGTCACAGGTGTGTGGAGGGCAGCCTGGTCGCTGTGTCTCTCCATCTGGCTGGCAGAGGGACATCTGTGCCCCCCACAAGGGAGCACCTTGCAACAGGGAAGTGAGAGAATCCCAACTGATCACTCTCTGAGCAAAGCTACAGCCCCCAGGTCTCACACAGGGAAACAGGACAGATTTGTTTCTCCTGATATGCTGAGAGCTCAAGGACAAAGAGCCACGACCGGGACCGGCTGGCTGCCGAGCGACCTGGTAGTGAATTCCAGATCCACCAAAACAAGTTACCTAACCTCACGTTAGTTTCCTCATCTGCAAAGTACAGATAATAATAGTACCTGCCTCGTTAGGGTTATTAGGAGAGTTACAGAGCTAAGTACTTCTATTTATATTATAAGTTCATACTTACCATATAAGTTGCTGTGGTCGCTATGAAGCGCACTGACCATCAGGGGCAGATGCCCTAATAGGAGCTGCCGAGCTGCAGTGACTTGGCAGCGGCAGTTTTCGGGTGACGCACCCCGGAACCAGAGAGGAGGGAGCCCGATTCCTCACAGGGCCGCATGATTCCACCTTCAGCCCTGGGCTATGTTGTTGCTGGGGCACTGTCGGCCCGAACCTGGTTTACTGCACACACCCTGTACAACAGCACCTTTGTAGAGTGCCCTCTCGCACTCCGGGACCCCTCAGCGGATGTCGTAGAGCTGGTTTGGGCCCAATCCCTGCAGACCAGGCCAAGGGACCCCACCTGCCTGAGGGACCCTGCTCATTCCACAGACCCCCTTTGAGCCATAGCACCACTCCAGGTGCAGCCTGCTGGGGAGGGACCGTGGGAGGTTGGCTCCAGGATGTGTCTGGCCTGTCTTGCCCAGTCCCGCCCTGGTGGCCACCTTCTAATTAATTTCCTTTCAGTGTGCATGAATCTGTGTACCAGGTCACTAGTGTATATATATGCTTGGGGTAGTCAGGGTGTAATAAGTAAATAAGTAAACCTTTGTGGTAGGTAAATCATTGTGGTCCAGTGTCTGTACAAAATGCTCTGGGAGGAACGTATACTAGTAAAAGCTTCTTAAAAGAGGTAACATTTGAGCTGGGTATTGATGGGTGAGTAGGAGTTTGTCTCTCAGAGAAGGAGGAGATGACCAAGAGGAAAATATGTGCAAAGGTGTAAAACTTTAAGAGGGTAATTCATGGTTAGCAATTGGTGAGAAGGTCAACGGAACTGTAAGGTGAAGAGTGAGGAGAGATCCACCAGGAAAAGTAAACTGGGCTGAAATTCTTCAGCTGTTTAATTAAAAAGTTTGCAGTTTCAGGGATGTGCTAGGCACTGGAGATGCTCACATCTTCGCTCTAGCAGAGCGAGAGACGGCGACGACAAACCAAGATACAATTCCTGGTAGCTATAAGGCCATGAAGAAAGTAGAGCATGATGATGCAAGAGAGGACCAGCGGAGTGGCCCCTTTAGGTTGGGAGATGAGGGAAGGCTACACCAAGGAGGTGGTGTTTGAACCGGGGCTGAACTCCAAGGAGCCAGCCAAGGGAACAGCACCCACAGAGGCAGAAATGAGCTTGGCTTGTTTGCGGAACAAAAAAGTCAGCGTGGCTACTATTTACAGGCGGAGGGAGTGAGGAGCGTGGCAATGAGGTTGGACAAGAGCCACTTCCGCTTGGCCCACCTTGTAGATGATGATAAGGAAGTTCACTTCCTTCTAGGGCAGCAACAAGCCATTGGAGGCTCCCAGATGTGACCTGCGCTGATAAAAGACCCCTGGGGCTGTGGAGTGGGATCGGATTTGGGGGCAAAAGGTTTTGTAACAAGAGTAGAGCAAAGAAGTCGCTGCAGGAGTTGAGCTGATGGTGGCGCAGACCAGTGCAGTAGACGTGGTAAGGGGAAGTGTGTGGATTGGGAAGGGCATTGTAGGCACCCCCAAGCAGTCTGAACTTCCCCTGTTGGGGGAGGGGGACGGTGGCAGCATCGGGTTTGTAGATGGGAAGCTAGCTCTTTCCGAACGGTTAGGAGGCCAGCGTGGAAGAAGGCTAGATACATATCAGTGAGGTAAGAGCCTGTGGGTTCAAGGATCAGCAAACTATGGTCCGTGGCCAAATGTGGCCTGTACAACCCATGAGACAGAAGTGTTTTTACATCTTTAAATGTTTTTCTTTTAAAAAAAGAAAGAAAGAAAAGCAGCATATATGACAGAGACCATATGGATTACAAGGCCTAAAATATTTACTCTCTGGACCTTTACAGAAAAAGTTTGCCCACCCCTAGTTTAGACCATCTGCAGTCTTTAAAAAGAAAAAAAGGAAACGAAGGC